CGTGTAGGCTCTATTTAAATAAAGGTTTGAATTTAAAAAATGAAAAGTTTTTAAGATAATTGAGCTTCTGGGCTTAGCCCTGATAAATTCTAAAAAATGGACTCAGGCTCGAACGGTTCTTCAAGCCTTATTATTATTTTTTCTTATAATCTATATAAAAATGATGTGTATAGAAAAAAATGTAAGGCTTAAACTTTTTTAATTTCTGATTTCTCGACTTTCACTCTCTCAACTTTTTTTGTTCAATCGAAACTCTCACTCTTTCAATTTAAAAATTAAAGATTTCACAATTATTCATCTACTCTCTCGTCAGTCGTCACTTATTTTTGCCTTACTCAAAGTCAGTCGGCTCTCTCTCCCTCATCTGCTTGCCTTGTTGCCCCTCATATTTATTACATCTGCTCTCGCTCATATTTCTCACGATTTACTTTTCACTCTCAATTGTTGTCTTGTCATGGGTGTTAGATAGTTGATACTTTAATTTTTGATTGTCTTGGATAAGTGTTCTGATTCTTATCAAGTTTAATCAAAATAATTTTTTTTTTGTGCCAACTAAAGTAATTGCTTTAATTATTTTATATTTAATTTTAAAATATTTTAATTAAATTATAATATTAATTTTTTTTTAAGGTATCCAGGCTTGACCCGAAGCCCTAATAGCTAAATCTAAAGATTTGAGAGAATTTTGAAAAACTGAGCTTCAGGATCTAGGACCTAAGTTCTTAAGATGAGCTCGCCGTTTCCCAGCTCTTGCCCCGTCACTCAGCAGAAAATACTGTTTATCGGCGCGAATGCGCTCCCCTTGCACAGTTAGGACATTACGCCTGTTGGAGCGCTCTCAGTAATTTTATATGCCTGGTTAGTGGTTACTCACAAAACGATTGGATCGATCGACTTCCATCTCTCCCACGCCATCTCTCTGAAGCGTAACATTTGGTATACTCTTACCCGATTATTTGTGCGCTCTAGCAGCTTCCTTTATCTAATCTCTAAATACTGTATTAGATCATTGATTTATTTTTTCTGTGATGAAGTAGTCAGTAGATGGAGCCAGTTTTTTATTGGTTGAAGGTCGATGGGGTATTTCGTGTAATATGAATTTAATTTTCGATTGGAGAAATATTGAGCAGGAAAAATGTATCGTAGTTTAATTTTACATAATTGAACTCTTTGTTGATGGCTGGGCATTTGATCAAGTGGTGTTCGAGCATAGACCCTCGGTTGTGTGTTGTGTCCGTGTCTGTCTTTTTTCTGGCAGGAGTTGTTTCACACTGAATCCTTCTAAGTTCAAACCCAGATCACGTCAGTTACTTCTCTTGTTTCTTTTCCAGTAATATTAGCCTTGTTTTTTTTTTTTTAACATTCCCCTTTTTTGCCTTCTTTGAAGTATCATTTTAATTTCTTCTTCAAATTATATCTCTCTTTGAATTTGTTTCTGTTTTTTCCCTTGATATTTGTGAATCCCACTTTTAAGTCAAATACTCACGAACTTTTCTACTTAAAATAATGTCAAATGTTCTTTAATTTGTTGATATATGAGTGTTATATAGTTATATCATTGTTAAGAGATAGAGGTAAAAATGAAAACACTTATTAGGATGTATTTAACTTGGTTGTACACCTAGTTTCAAGTAGCTGTTTATTCCATTGATATGGTTTAAATTTGTCCTTGTATACCCCAGAAATCAAGTTCTTGCGTTTCATTTTATAGCTATACAATCTGTATTCAGGAATATTAGTGGCTAATTAACATATGGTCTCCTTTTCTTTTTCTGTTTTGCCTTCCTTTATCTAGTGTAGCACCGTTTTCATACTAATGGCCAACAGAGTTCAAATTCCTTCAAGAAATTCCGTGCTTATTGCGATGATTGCAGATGAGGTAAGAATGCCACACTTGCTGCTCATGCTTCAGGGGGTGTATCTTGTCGAGCATAAATGTTTGCTTATATCGGCATGGTCTTGAGACATTTCTGTGACTTATGAAGGGTTTAATTGTTCATGTGGCATTTTCTTCATTTGCACCTAGCTTCAGTGGTTGAGAAAGTGGGTTTTGAATAAAATCTCCTCAGGATCAAGTTATAGAATTTCCCAATACATCAGAAAACAGCGAGTCTTCAAAATCAATTTGTTGTATGATAGATGGCAATTGACAAATGCCAATGTGAGAAAATATCACTAAAACATATAAGCTCATTTTAGTTCGTGAACATTAATTTAGATAATCTTTTAATTTCTTTCAAGTATGCATGTTGATTGACTATATATAACAATGTTAAATCTTATGTTTTTTCAATTCTACGAATTTAACCCAGGACACTGTTGTTGGATTTTTGCTTGCTGGGGTGGGCAATGTTGACTTGCGTAGGAAGACAAACTACCTTATTGTGGACTCAAGTATGGCTCTGAAATTTGGATCTCTTTAAGTTGCTAAGTTCACTTAGGACAATGGAATGACTCCATTTTATCTCCATTATCATATTCACTCTCTCTCTCTCTCTCACACACACACACTCTCTCTCTCTCTCTCTCACACACATCTGCCTGCACTGTACAATTCTTTAATGTGATTTGAAAGATGTCACAAGTTGGGGTGTACGCCCTCCTATGTTGATTCATGATAAATTTGTAGAAGATATTCTTGCACCTTTTGTTGCAATGCTGAATATCCCTTGAATAGCAATCCCTGGAAGTAAATGGTTGATAGGATGGAAACCAGGCAGTTTGCGGGAGATTGGATATTGCCATTGGCCTAATGGTGCCAGCTGCTCTTGTCATTTGTTTTAATTTCTTAACTATATGAGCCCTGTGCATTGTTCTGAATATGAAAAATGAGTTATATTATTCATGACTTATAAATGTGTAATTTGCTATAGATTTTATACTTTATATCGATATATTGATTTGAACATATGTTGATTATGCTCATGTTTCATATCTTGTGTTGTCTTTGTAGAAACCACTGTCAAACAAATAGAAGATGCATTCAAAGAGTTCACGACAAGGGAAGATATTGCAATTGTGCTGATTAGCCAATATGTAAGGTTTTTTTTATTTTTTTTGGTATACACGACTTTAACCCAATTATGGAAAAAAAAAAATTGTTAAGGGTATCAAGCATATCATGTCGATCATATTGCTAGATGCCAAAGGTCTTGACCATATCATGGCCAAGAAAAAAGTCCTAACCGTATGGTGTATGGTTTGTCTCAGTAATATACTGATCTCATTCCATGTTTAGGAAACTCTGCCTAAATCATTCTTTTCCATATTATAGGTTTCCCCTTCTCTGCAATATATGATTATTTTGAGCCAAAGTTTCGGGCTCATTTAACATCGCAGATATTTTGCTCTTCGATTATGTGAAATTTTTGTATATATGATCTGGTACAATTAATATATGTCATGTCTGTCCTATGCAACTGACCACTGACTTCATTCATGACCATTGAATGGAGTTGTGTTTTCATGCAATCTAGCCTTGGAATTTCTTTATTATGATTTACAATGAATTTCTGTGTTCCGTACTCTTATGATTTTTGGCGTCAAATGGAAGATCTAATACTCTATTGTCAATTAACCAGGTTGCAAACATGATAAGGTTTTTAGTTGATAGCTACAACAAGCCTGTTCCTGCGATATTGGAGATTCCTTCTAAAGACCATCCTTATGATCCTGCACATGATTCAGTTCTTTCGCGAGTGAAGTATTTATTCTCTGCTGAATCTGTGGCATCTGGGAGACGTTAAGCATCTGTGTCTTCTGTTAGAAGCATTTTTTCCCCCCAAATGATTGTTTCAAACTCAGTAATTTTATGCATGTTCCTGTTTGCTGTACATGTTAAGACTTCACTCCATAATCCCGGGAGTAAATCCAGCTGATGGTGATTACTTGATCTTTTAATAAGCAAAATGGGTGGATGATCAATTCATTTTCTTTTCTTTTCTCTTTTTTAATGGTAATAGATCAATTCATTTTTTTTCCGCCAGTCAATGCACTAGGACCGGGAGCTGTGCCAGTACAAATATTTGTTTGAGGTTGTTCATTGCAATGAACGCACCTGTGCAAATAAACGCATGGGGAATTTTTTTTCCCTCCGTTTGCGAATTACTGACGAAATAACTGTCCCTTCGATATTCTGCACCCATATAAGTTTATGGCTTCTAAATGTGCCCTAATTTATAGATGATGGAGATATTTTAATTTTTAATGAAGGAGAGGAAAAGAGAGTTGAAAAGTAGGAAAAATGATAATTTTTTTTTGAATTATACGAATGACATTTCATAATTCTCTTGAAATTTTTAAAAATTTTTGTTATTAAAAAAATAATATAAGTAATTAAATTGTTTTTAGTTCAATATTTCAAATGCAAGTTTATGAATTATTGTTGTATTTTTGGGATTTTAAGCAAAAAAATTATAAATTTTAAAACGAAGCTTATAAATGACAATTGATATTTGTAATACAGAAATATTAAAATTTTAAATGAAAATTTATAAATTACTGTTAAATTTTTATAATTTTAAAAAAAATTGTGAATTTTAAAATATCTTGTGAATAACAATTGATATTTAAATTGAAAATAATTTGATTATTTATATTAATTTTTTAATGACAGAAAAATTCTTAAAAACTTCATTGATGTTATGACATTTTGAAAAATCAAATTCTCATTTATATAATTTTAAAAAAAATTATTGTCATTTTTCTTTAAAACTAAATTGATTATCATGGGGTCATCAAATTTGAGTTGTTATCATTTTTACTCTCTCTCTCTCTCTCTCTCTCTTATTTTTGGCTTTTGAGGAAGAAAAGTAGTCATATTACAATTTATCAATTTCTTTTTTTGCTTAATGTCAAAATTTATCATTTTTAAAATGTTAAAATTTTCGCCTTACATATAATACAAGTCTTGCATTGATTTAAATTTTTTATTACTGTTTTTTTTTTTGAAATATTATTAGTCACGTAGCAGCCGTTTGTTCACGCTAACAGAGGGCAAATGAAATAAACTTACCAAAATTCATGTTACTGTCAAGGTACATTAAGATCTTAGCTATAGAGGCTAAATTATTGTCTCCAAGGTTGTTCGAAGAGATGGAACAAACACTAAAGGGAAACAAGCTGGGTAGTTCAGAAGGGTCTGGAGGATATGAATCTTATTCAAGCTCATCAACTCGTTTTCAAGGAAGTGCAGATTTTAACGACTTGGCGAAGTTTTCTAATTCTTTCAAACCATCCTTGGGAGATTTGGCCTCACCAAGCAACTTCACCATAGCACTGCCAACAATCACCCCATCAGCTCCCCATTCCGCTATCTGTATCAAATTACATGGTTTAGAATTAAAGTACAGCAACTGCACCAATATAGAAGCACCAAAAGTTACGGGCAAAGAACTGACCAGTTTCGCATGCTCTGGTTTTGATATGCCAAAACCAACTGCCACAGGCTTTGTTGTTGCCTGATAGGAAAATGAGGCAGTCAATGGTGTGCAGGCTAGTAAATATTCACCCAGTTTCATGGTGGCCAATTACCAAACATACATATGACCAATTGCCAGCACAAGCAAGTTGCCACCAAAGAGATGAGAGTGGCAAAGCAGGTTAAAAGAATGATAAGAATTTTTCAAAGTGTTCAGAAGACTTTCATAGCAAAACGTGGCTTCAGAAAAAGATTTTCACTTCAAATGAAAGACTTACAGACAAATATTAAGCAGACAAACCTCTTTAATTTCACGCAAAAGAGCCTGAACCTTATCGCTTACTTCTGCTCGAGTTCCAGTGACCCCAACGGAACTCACCTATATTGCAGATCAAGAAATGGTCCATGAATCATGATATTTCATCAGCATAATATCGCCAAATAGATGCACATTTTCTGTTTTTTACCATTTTTGTATCCTATTTTCAATATTTTGGGTCAAGAGGCAACTCGATATTGCTGCCAATCCGCTAAAGTGCAAACAGAAACAACTGATTAGACAGAATGCAAAAGCCAAAAGAACATTATCATAGGTTTCTTGACATCGGTGATGCAGTTTTCCCACTTCTGATGGCCACAAATTGACCCACCAACCCTCATTCTTATGCTTATTTTTTAACTAATCGAAACCAGGTGATTCTTTTGCATTGTCTTCCTCTTGAGGATAAATTCGATCATTCATTCTTTAAAAGCTACCAACAATAATACATCATTTGAATAGCAAATCCAAACTCATGGGCCAAGTTGCCCGCAATTTAAGGCCTAAGTTAAATGATCTTTCTCTAATAAACAAAAATAAGGCAAATTAACAGAGCAATTGAGGACAAGGCCTCAAAACATAAGACCATAGATAAAGCACCTGATTACCTAACTTTTGACCTATGCATGCATAAAAGTAATAAGTACATCTAATAAAAGACGTGTTAAAATCTAATAGCAAAGGAATTTGAATTTCATTCTGTTATGTCCTTGAGTTTGTTGATTATGAAAAATTCAATTTAAGCGGGGCAGGGAGGACTCAGCAGGTGCAAAGTTATAGCAATTAGGGGAGAAACGGGGAAAAAGGAGCTATCACGGTTGAAAGATGAAACAGATTCTTACAAGATAAATAAATCCCTCTGAAGCTTCAACAATGGCTTTCATCCGGCTTATTGGAGTAGTGGGCGTTGTTAGGAGTACCTTAATCACATCAGAGAAACATATTTTTAAACAACACCATTGACTAACAGATTAAACAAATACATTGCAAAATGTAAAATCTAAAAACTAGAAGGTAAGTTGATCATAACAAGCATTTCATTGTTCCACCGCCACTATAAAGTCTTCTCCTGCTTGACTTGAGGGATCCATTTCATAAATTCATATTACAAACTACAATAAAAAAAAGAAGTTTACCACTACATCTCTAACATTATGACAATAATGAATATAAGACACCTCATCTGGAATTCAGGAACAAAGTAAGACAGCATTTCAAAGGTAAACAAACCAATTCAATCCCATTCTTCTTAGCTTCTATCCTCAAAGCTGTTGTCTCCTCCAGGGGAACATCAGGAACCACAAGCCCTGAAAAGATAGGGAAAAGTAATATAATATTCAAATACCTAAACTGGAAAGAAACAGAGAAAATGTTGCTTTTGTCCAGGAAAATGCAAAAAGCTCCCTTGAATTTTGGTTCACTTGTAAATGGCCCCCGCTACTTTCAAAGTTAGGTCCTTGCAGTTAGCCAGTTACAAGTTCCAGTAAATAAACCATTCTCTGATACGTTTTTCTCAATGATGCTACCTCACTTGCCACCACAAACATCTCCACAACTGATGTGGCAGGTTTCCATTCATGCTCAATTTGCTAACATGTCAAATGTGGGATTCTTTGATATGGCAACTAAATTAACATCAGCAAGTGAAAATTAGCAATAGATTGAAGGATCTAGGTGCTGAAGTACGGAAGTTTGAGAATCTAATTGCCAGTTTTGGAAGTTTAAGTTCGATGGACTATTTGCAGGCGACCCCAAGTTCAATTTTTTTTTTTTTTAAACTTTTGTTTTTCCCTCTTCACTTCTCAGGCAATTTTTTTTGTCGACCTCATGTAGCAATTCAAATCAGGACAAGGCAGAAAAGCGCTAAAAATTTCCTATTTTATCCTTCAGAAATCAGAATCATGCATCTAATTATATTTGTACAGTGAAACCCGTGCAGGTTACACAAATCCTGCACCTCTACAATTTTGGCATGCTAAAATAATAAACGATGTCTTTTAAGGCTTAAGTGACATGCTATGTCTCTTTAAACTTCAATTTTAAGTGTAGAATGTGAAATAAGAGATTGAAACTCCTTTCCTAATCTCATCTATGCTTTCTATCACATTATTAGGTATAAGAGTCCCTAAATAAGCGGGCTAATCAGAATGATATAACAAGCTCCAGGTAATTATTGAAGACTTACCATGTACACCAATGCTGCTAATAGTGGACATAAATCTCTCAGTACCACGCTTGAGTATTGGGTTGTAATAAGTAAACAGAGCAATTGGACAAGACAATTGTGGGGCAACCTGTCAAATTAACAATGCAGAACGGTCATCTGAACTTGAACGTAAAATTAATTTGACCCAAGCAAGCAATAACTGGAGATTTCTCAGATATCCCCATCATTTGGAGTAATTGTCTTGATGACTATTGAGATGTGTGTGTATGTTTTTATATAGACAAGAGCGATATCCTGTCAAAGATTCAAATTGGTAAAACAATCTATGGTTTCATACATTCTTGTGCTCAACTATGATGACCAAAATAATATGCATGTATGCAATCTAGCAGCAAATCCTTGTCTATAACCATATTCCCAAGATACCATTAAGTGTAATTGCATCTCCTTTCTTTCCCATCGAGAAAAAAGAGTACAGGATCCATCACAGGTTCATAACAACTTTTGAGTATGTGCACAGCTTCCTTGTCAGTGAAAAATCGAAAAATAAAGAGAAGAGAAAAATTACAAGAGCAGCAGGAAAGTGACCGAACATAGGTTTTGAGTTTCATAATTAATAAACAGCAAGATATTTCAACAGTTGTACCTCCTTCAACATAGATATAATTGCATCAAAATTGGTACCCCTTGCCAAGGAACGGGTAGCAGCAGCCTGTATAGAAAGACTCGTCAATTTGAGAAATGGACATTACATGTCACCAAAGTGCATAAAACCTTCAAACCTGGATAACAGGACCATCTGCCAAAGGATCAGAGTATGGAACACCAAGTTCAATTATGTCTGAGCCACACGAATCAAGCACTTTCAGTGCTTCTGCTGTGGTTGAAAGGTCAGGATCACCAGCAGTGATGTATGGGATAAAAGCCACCTTGACACAAAAAGACTTCTTAGAGGAACAAAATCATTTGAACTTTAGAAAATAAAAGGATTTAAAACTTATAAAGAATCAAATGCAATATTTTAAGGTGGTCAAAGCGTCGGTGTTAAAAAATGGTCAACTAAGTTATCTAATCCCCATTTCAGCTGCAGACTAAGAAATGCTACTACGATATTCAAAAGTAATAATTAGCATAGACCAAACAATTTTATTATCTGGTTGATCCCATTGTGAATAAATCTGCATGAAATAACCCTTTTTCTATTACTAATTAAGTTCTGAGTAGGATTCATCAATGTGCACAAAATAGTATAAGGGAATCAGCACTCTACATGACCCATGGCATAACTTTAAACTCCAGAATTCTCTACCTGCACTCATAAATTGACGCTACTCTAACATGCAGTTAACAAGTTCTTGAAAATCAAATACCAAAAAGCCCAGTTCATATCCCGGTATCTTCAAAATGACTCTGAAAAGATTCAAATCCAGATAAGGAGTGTGCATAATTTGCGCATGGCAGGAAGAATGTTAAGTGGATGAGGGGAAGAAACAATAAAAATCTTTATCCCATTAGGTTGAGTCGGCTATATAGATTTCACAATGTTATTATGTTCTATCATCAACCATGCTCTTGGGAAAATAGCGTGAAAGGATAAGCATACAATTAACTCTGGGCGCCTTCTACATCCAGAAGTGCTCCACTAAAATCTCTTTATGATAAAGACAAGATAGGCAATCAATAAATATGCATATTATATTAAGGAACAAGTTGATAATCCAGTATTCTTCAAGTTGAATAGTGACATAGAGAAAACGAAAAGGGCAAGATACAGCAGCAATAGAAGAAAGTTCTTACCTTTCCCTCTCTTTTCAGTCTGGTAAATGTTTTGGCGAGCCCAACAGATTTTGTGGTGCTGATAGCAGCCATTGGAGAGTATCTTCGAAGTGGTACAATAGAAATCTTGGAGGGGTAAAACGCCTTGAAATTGACCTCGTATTTCTTCAGTTGCAAGAAACTAGATTTCAGCGCAATAGCCATAAAGAAGGGTCGTTTGTCACTGAGTGATTAGCAGAAGATTAGTAAGATTAAGAGTTTAATAACACAATGTCACTGAAAATGAGAATGCAAGTTCTTTTTGGAATACAAATATTAATATCAATATCAATCTCTTAAAAACAAGACATGGCTCCCCACGGATAGGAAGGAACCGTTAGCGGGAAATGGAAATCAGCCTCCTTTGCACCTGCACGCCCGTTCTGTTGCAGAGAGGCAGAGGACAGTGCAATCACCGAAATCTCAAACCGCTGCCACCCCCGGCGCAGATTCCCTCTTCTCCGTAAGTCTCAGGCAACGGCAACATTGCGGCACCGAACTCTCTCGCCCCGACCTTCCCCAGTCGTTCTCACCCAAATATTGGCCCTAGTCACTCATTGACTTTCACCTCCGGCAATCAGCCAAATGAAGGGAATTCGTAAACCCCGTGTGTGTGTGTGTGTGTGTGTGTGTGAACTTCTTAATATCCACAGTTATTCGAATAGAAAAAAGATAAACGAAAACTAAATTTGAGGCTATCCATCGATTTACAAGTATTGGGCATTCAGCGAAACCAGAGACAACCCACCTCTGAGATGTTAGCAATGAGGCCGAAAACAAGATCTGTGATAGTATGGAAGTAAATGAAAACAGTTGTTTCCTTGCCACCAGTGAATAAGTAGAGTTAGATGAAGCGAGGAGGTCCAAGCGGATTTCTTGCTCTTTTCGGCGGATACGTGAAATCACATCATCGACGATTCAACAGAACAGCCCCCTTGCGACGGATATCGCTGGTGACTAGTCAGAACGTTGCGCATTTAAACATAAATTTTGTAAATATACATGTTAAAATAACTTGTTTTCGTAAATATACATTTTAAAATATAAAATATGCAATTTGTAAATATAATCCTTCTTATCTATAAACATCCTTTAAAACAATCCACGCATAAAAAAATTTTATTTTTATTAAAATTTTTATTTTTTATTTTAAAATTAATTTATAATGAATAAGAAAAAAATCATACGTTCATATGTGCGCGCACAAAAATTTAAATTAATTAATACAATTAATGCTATCAATTATGGTCGATTCTTAAGGATTAGGCCCAAATAAATTAATCCTATAAAGTTTAATTTCACTTTACAATTCGATTTTAGCTAGCTTGGCTCTAGCTCTCAGGACCTCGGCCCTATTTTTTTATTTTTCAATTTATAATTTTAAAAAATATATTTAAAGTTTTAAAAAATATTACACATAACATTAAATCTAGCATAATAAATTTAAGACAGTATACACAATAATAAATTTAAGGCTAATCAAAAGTAATGACATCGCAAAATTGACACTGATAATAATTAAATTTTACTTGTATCAATCTTAATGATTTTCATTGTCATCAACATTAGTATAATTTGATCCTTCTTGTTGTTGAGCCTCATCAATTATTACATATAACATTTAGTTTTGAATTGTTTATTTTTTATATTAAATTTTAAAAAATTATATAAAAAGGTTTAAAAAGGTTGGCGCTATTATTTTTTGGCTTAAAAGAGGTGCCCGATTTATCATTTTATAGCTCAAAAAAGAGGCCTAACTTTTAATTTTTTTCGAGCTTAAAAGGGCCGGCTTGACGAGCTCAACCCTAATTGATACTCTAAATACAATGAGTAAAGTAAGATTTTTTTATAAATACTAAATTTTTTATATTTTGGATCAAAAGATGCTTATTTTCTATATCAAATTGAGTATTTATTAATATATATGTTGCTAAAGTTTGAGTTGTATGCTAGTTTTATTATTTATATAGTTTTATCTTTTAAATTATGACGTAAATATATTCTTAAGTAGATTGAATGTATCATGTCATTTGTAATCTGTTCAATTAAAATACCTCAATTTATCTGAATAAAATCTTATGTGATATTATTTTAATTAATTTTATTCTTATAACAGAATTTATATTTAATTTCCTACCTTTTTTTACTATACTATAATTAATATTAAAATTAATTTCTATTTAATGTTATTTAAATATCATATTTTTATTGAACATATTACAAATAATGTGACTTACCTGATCCACCTAAGAATTTTTCTTAAACGCATATTTTTTTGTGGATGGAATGTGATACATTCTTCTTCTTTACTAAGATAATGATTCATAACTTAAATAACTTGCACAAGAAAAGCAAAATTTAGTTGGCCTCTCTTGTTATTCACCATCTCTTAAAAGAGTTGCAAGGGATGATCAAAGATATGAAAAATTAACATATAAACTATATAACATTTTAGTTAAATTGTCAGCATAAGAATTAGATTTTTTATTGATGTGTTGAATAAATAAACTCCAATCCTGTAATATAAAAGACGAGAATTTGGTTATACATTTTCTGTTTCACTATATATACGTGTAAACATCGTTCATCTATTGACATATGTTGATATTTATGATAAATTTTATTATTTCCATTAAAACATGTAAATTTTGGTTAAAAAAAATAATTGCGCGCCCTGAAGTACCATCTTCCTGTTCGGCATAAAGGTACCATTTTCCCTAAATAAAACTTCAAATTTTTCATGAAAATTTTAATGGCCTTTAATGGTCTCCCCCAGCTCCATTCCTCCTCTCTCTCTCTCTCTCTCTCTCTATCTCAATCTCTCTCTTTCACGGAACCTTATTGAGCCTGTACTTCAAGGCCGAGAGAGTGAGTGGCCTAGCTTCATTAGGAATTCATTTCCCTTTTTTTTTGAGTAAAAATTGAGACTATTAATAACAACTAAAAATGGTAAGTGTACATAATATTACAAAACAAAACAACCTATCATCAACCACCATCTTTTGGTATGAAAGATGGTTTGTGATCATAGATGCAAAAGATTGAATCTTGATTATGTATTCATCGGGCCAAAGTGTCAACAACAAGATTTGACTCCTTATATATGAAATTAATAGAATCAAACCAATTCCTCCCAATCATACTCCTCGCTTCTTCAATAATATCCTATTACAGGTGAATTTGATTGTAACCCTTAATGATGGGATTGATGGCTTTTGCACTATCAATAAAAACAATGACATTTCCATAGCCTATAGTCCAACAAATATTCAACCTTTGGATAAGTCCTATAGTTTCTGCAATTATTGGAGGAATTATGGTCAGCTTACAACTGAAGTCCTACAACCACTTAGCATTATTATTATGCAACACTGCACCACATCCACATTGGGCATTTGTAAGAACAGAGCCATCCACGTCTAATATGACATTATTTCCCTTTGGTGTTGTCCATCTATCTTGAGCAACTCTAACATCACCATGAAGGGTATGACTCAAATGGAGATTTTCGTCCATTCACGCATGATAAAAATTATTTCTACCATTGGAAGAATTCTTGGGTTCTTGATTCTCGAAGAAAAAATTACATCTATCTACCCATATATCCTGACAAGTATAACTAAAAAGTGTAGGCCAAAGAATGTCCCTAGTGGCCATTTTGCCAGCTTTATGAGTTAGATTCCATTTAACCTATTCAACTCCTTGAAAGGTAAAGAGAGTGTACTAATATTCCTGTTCGACTATCGATTACCATTGTTCCCTTGCATTTTTGCAATCTTGTATGAGGTGCATCTGGTCTTCCAAATCTTCACAATTAAAAGCGCACTCCATTGAGTTTGAGAGGCCTCTTCTTACTTTAAATTGTTGTGCATGAGTTTTGCCATGAGTGAAGATCATATAAAAGACTTAATTTTTTTAAGCATTTTTCATTTCCATAGGAGTTTCCAAATGGCATCATTCACTACTCCAGTACCTGCAAAAGTAAAATTATAGGCAGAGTTAATAGAAAAGGATCCATTCAAAGATGAAGTCTATAAGAATATATCCTCTCCTCTCTCCTCACAAGGTGGGTGTGCACAAGTTATTCAATCAGCAATAGAAGTACTAAACCATTTATTCAATTTTTCTCTGTCCCATTATCCCCACATTGTCATGTAATCACTCACTTTCTCTTGATGATTAAGGAAGCCTTCTATACCCGAAATGCGATTAATGAGAAGAGTTCGTATCTCATAATAGTTCTTAAAATAAAGTGGATTTTTCCATTGTCAGTTTTTTTTCCTAATTCTTTCTTGAAGGTTTCCTGTAACATCCTAATTTTTAGATTAAAAAAAAATTATGAAATTTAAGTTTTTTTTAAAAAAATGATGATGATAATAGAAATTTATATTATTTGACGTTATTTGAAAATAATAATATGGCTAGGCATTTAATTATGAATTAAAAACTTAAGTTTAAAATTATATAAGAAATATTTTGTTAAGATATAATTTTAAATTTTAAAAAAATTTATTATTAATGTGTGTGAGTTAAAAAAAAAGAAAATTGCAACAGAAAAGAAAATTATTAATGTGTGTGTAAAAAAAAAGAAAAGAAAAAAAAAGGGGAGGGGGTTTAGTCTCACATCGGTTAGATGTGGGAATGAAAGGCACCTCTTCATGTATAAAAAGAGGAGGTGCATTGTGGAGGAAGCATCAGAAATTTTTTATTGTAATTTGTAAAAATTGCAACTAAGGGCTCAAAATGCAATTTGTGAAAATTGCAAGTGATGGCCCAAAGGTTTGAATAATTAAATTCAAACCTATAATTTTTTTTAATATAAATTTTGGGACCACAATCCCATTTTATATTATTTTTCTCTCTTCCTCTCATGTTGCTCGGCGATTTCTCTCAAGGGGGGATTATTTTCTTTTTCTTCAGGTATGTTCTAACTTTCCTGTTTAGATTAGTATTTAAAAATTTATTTAATTACAAAATTAATTTTATAGTTATTTTCTAAATAATATTAGCTTTCTAGTGATATGATTATTTTGTATGATAGAGTAAATATTCTGATTAGGATTTTTCTATATGATAGTTAATCTGATGATATGATGGATTAAAAATATAGGTTAAAACTCTTAGGGGTATAATAAATATTATAGAATATTTTTTTTTGAGGTTGAAACTCATGTTAAAGAATTTTTAAGTTAAAATCTAGATCTATATGGTTGAATTTATGTAGAATTTGAGATGTAGGGATAAATTTATAATTATTAAATATTTATTTAAGTATGAATAGGTATTTTTGAGGTTATAGAAAGGTGATTTGAGGCTTCAGGATAATTCTAAAATTTTTAATTTATTTTTGGATGAATTTTTAGAATATAGAAGGATGAAATTGTGATACGAGAAGTGATTTGAGGATAAAAAAATAGTTTATTAGGGTACGAGAATTTTAGAAAAAGAATTTAAAAAGTTAAATGAGGCATAAATCTTAAATTATTGTTAATATGGATTATAGATCTAAGACTTTCTAACTCTTTAAATTAAAGTTATTTATTTTAATGTAAAATTAATATATAGTATTGTGAAATAATTATATAGATTATATTGACAAAGATAGCGGTGAAAAAGGAGTTGTG